TGTCTGTCTGTCTGTCTGTCTGTCTGTCTGTCTGTAGATCAAAAATTTTGTTCCCACGATAACTCTTGAAAAACTTATCCGATCGTTTTTAAATTTAACACACTTTAAGTTGGTGCAAAAATGAAGGCCAAGTTCGTTAACCAGCCATTTTCGTTAAAAAATACAAAAACTACAGTACTTTCAAAATTTTAAAAAATCAATTTTTTTTATTTTTTAAATTTATATTTGCATATTACGATAGCTTAGGAAAATACAAACAACTTTTCTCTACAACATTTTTTTATAAAAAGTCAAATTTCGGAGTTATAGGATCATAAATGGTCAAAAAAACTAAAAAATCCCAAAATAATTCTAAAAATCAAAATATTTTCAAAGAATTAAAAGTAACTTCAACTATTTTTACATAATCTCACTCAAATACACCCAAAAAACATATTTATAGACATAGAACTCTTAATTTTTCGAAAAACCACTGTATATATATATATTTTATTATTTTTTTTGGCAAAAAATCGATATTCCGACTTAATTATCTCCGAATCTATTCGATATGGAATCTTGCTACTGGAGACTTTTTTTCTCGTCTCATCCTCTGCTACAACTTTGCTGTAGACACCATTTCGCCAAACCCTATACTTTTCGATTTATTTTCAAAAAAAGTAATTTTTATTACATTCTCATCATATGAGAAAGTATTAGTTTTGGTCGAAAATTGACTTTCGCTAATTTCATGAAATCTCGACGTTTTGGGGTCCCATGAACCCAAAAAACATGGTCCGGCGATGGTGTCTGTCTGCCTGTCTGTAGATCAAAAATTTTGTTCCCACGATAACTCTTGAAAAACTTATCCAATCGTTTTTAAATTTAACACACTTAAATTTGGTGCAAAAATGAAGGCCAATTTCGTTAACCAGCCATTTTCGTTAAAAAATACAAAAACTACAGTACTTTCAAAATTTTGAAAAATCAATTTTTTTAAATTTTTAAATTTTTATTTGCATATTACGATAGCTTAGGAAAATACAAACAACTTTTCTTTACAACATTTTTTCATAAAAAGTCAAATTTCGGAGTTATAGGATCTTAAATGGTCAAAAAAACTAACAAGTCCCAAAGTAACTCTAAAAATCAAAATATTTTCTATGAATTAAAAGTAACTTCAACTATTTTAACATAATCTCACCCAATTTCCCCCGAAAAAAACATATTTGTGACGCGATCTGAAGAAAGGGACCTTAGAAGCAAAAAATTATAGGTTATGTGTGCAATTTTTTAAATGAAAATACAAAAAAGGATCAACTGTCAATATCAATCATTGATGTTTAAGTCTTCATTAAAACTAAAATATTTAATAAAAACTGATTTTAATTCGAAATAAGTAAAAAGAAACTTTCAAACAAGAAAAAAGTAACTCTAACCCAACCTTAAAATGATTTGCTTCTAAGGTCCCTTTCTTCAGATAGCGTCACATTTATAGACAAAGAACTCTTAATTTCTCGAAAAACCACTGTATATATATATATATATATGTTATTATTCTTTTTGGCAAAAAATCGATATTCCGACTCAATTATCGCCGAATCTATTCCATATGGAATCGTGCTACAAGAGACTTTTTTTCTCGTCTCTTCCTCTGCTACAACTTTGCTGTAGACACCATTTCGCTAAACCCTATACTTTTCGATTTATTTTTAAAAAAAGTAATTTTTATTACATTTTCATCATATGAGAAAGTATTAGTTTTGGTCGAAAATTGACTTTCGCTAATTTCATTAAATCTCGACGTTTTGGGGTCCCATGAACCCAAAAAACATGGTCCGGCGATGGTGTCTGTCTGCCTGTCTGTAGATCAAAAATTTTGTTCCCACGATAACTCTTGAAAAACTTATCTGATCGTTTTTAAATTTAACACACTTAAATTTGGTGCAAAAATGAAGGCCAATTTCGTTAACCAGCCATTTTCGTTAAAAAATACAAAAACTACAATACTTTCAAGATTTTGAACAATCATTTTTTTTATATTTTCAAATTTTTATTTGCACATTACGATAGCTTAGGAAAATACGAACAACTTTTTTTTATAACATCTTTTCATAAAAAGTCAAATTTCGTAGTTATAGGATCTTAAATGGCCAAAAAAACTAAAAAATCCCAAAATAACTCTAAAAATCAAAATATTTTCAAAGAATTAAAAGTAACTTCAACTATTTTAACATAATCTCACCCAAATACACCCAAAAAACATATTTATAGACATAGAACTCTTAATTTCTCGAAAAACCACTGTATATATATATATATATATATTTTATTATTTTTTTGGCAAAAAATCGATATTCCGACTCAATTATCTCCGAATCTATTCGATATGGAATCGTGCTACTAGAGACTTTTTTTCTCTTCTCTTCCTCTGCTACAACTTTGCTGTAGACACAATTTCGCTAAACCGTATACTTTTCGATTTATTTTCAAAAAAAGTAATTTTTATTACATTCTCATCATATGAGAAAGTATTAGATTTGGTCAAAAATTGACTTTCGCTAATTTTATGAAATCTCGACGTTTTGGGGTCCCATGAACCCAAAAAACATGGTCCGGCGATGGTGTTTGTCTGTTCGTCTGTCTGTCTGTCTGTCTGTTCGTCTGTCTGTCTGTCTGTATGTTCGTCTGTTCGTCTGTCTGTCTGTCTGTATGTTCGTCTGTCTGTCTGTCTGTCTGTCTGTCTGTCTGTCTGTCTGTCTGTCTGTCTGTCTGTCTGTCTGTCTGTCTGTCTGTCTGTCTGTCTGTCTGTCTGTCTGTCTGTCTGTCTGTCTGTCTGTCTGTCAGTCTGTAGATCAAAAATTTTGTTCCCACGATAACTCTTGAAAAACTTATCCGATCGTTTTTAAATTTAACACACTTAAAGTTGGTGCAAAAATGAAGGCCAAATTCGTTAACCAGCCATTTTCGTTAAAAAATACAAAAACTACAGTAATTTCAAAATTTTAAAAAATCATTTTTTTTAAATTTTCAAATTTTTATTTACATATTACGATAGCATAGGAAAATACAAACAACTTTTCTCTACAACATTTTTTCATAAAAAGTCAAATTTCAGAGTTATAGGATCTTAAATGGTCAAAAAAACTAAAAAGTCCCAAAGTAACTCTAAAAATCAAAATATTTTCTATGAATTAAAAGTAACTTCAACTATTTTTACATAATCTTACCCAAATACACCCAAAAAACATTTTTATAGACATAGAACTCTTAATTTCTCGAAAAACCACTGTATATATATATATATATTTTAAAATTTTTTTTGGCAAAAAATCGATATTCCGACTCAATTATCTCTGAACCTATTCGATATGGAATCTTGCTACTGCAGACTTTTTTTCTCGTCTCATCCTCTGCTACAACTTTGCTGTAGACACCATTTCGCCAAACCCTATACTTTTCGATTTATTTTCAAAAAAAGTAATTTTTATTACATTCTCATCATATGAGAAAGTATTAGTTTTGGTCGAAAATTGACTTTCGCTAATTTTATGAAATCTCGGCGTTTTGGGGTCCAATGAACCCAAAAAACATGGTCCGGCGATAGTGTTTGTCTGTTCGTCTGTCTGTCTGTCTGTTCGTCTGTCTGTCTGTCTGTCTGTCTGTCAGTCTGTAGATCAAAAATTTTGTTCCCACGATAACTCTTGAAAAACTTATCCGATCGTTTTTAAATTTAACACACTTAAAGTTGGTGCAAAAATGAAGGCCAAGTTTGTTAACCAGCCATTTTCGTTAAAAAATACAAAAACTACAGTAATTTCAAAATTTTAAAAAATCATTTTTTTTAAATTTTTAAATTTTTATTTACATATTACGATAGCTTAGGAAAATACAAACAACTTTTCTCCACAACATTTTTTCATAAAAAGTCAAATTTCGGAGTTATAGGATCATAAATGGTCAAAAAAACTAAAAAATCCCAAAATAACTCTAAAAATCAAAATATTTTCAAAGAATTAAAAGTAACTTCAACTATTTTAACATAATCTCACCCAAATACACCCAAAAAACATATTTATAGGCATAGAACTCTTAATTTCTCAAAAAAACCACTGTATATATATATATATATGTTACGTACCAAGCCCGAAATTGTACAAAGCCCGATCTGTACAACGATTTTTGTACTGAGCGCGGTTGGTACAAGCTGTTTTGTACAAAGCTGTTATTTCCGGACTCTGTACAGAGATATTTGTACTGAGCTAGCTCGGTACAGAGATGTTTGTACAAAACTAGCTCAGTACGATTTCTCCTATACAATGTTGTCCATAACAGTTGATTTGTTTATTGTTGACACTTTACCAACAATCAAATCAAAAGATTAATGATTAATAATTTCAATTATAAATTGGAAACGATTTCAGTATTATAGCAAATTTATTCGAAGGTACACGTAAATATAATCATGAATACTTTTGACATGAAAAATTATTTTTAAAATAAATTGTATAATGATATAATACAAAAAGTAATAGATTCAAAAAATGAAATTAAAAAAGTTCAAGTGATTATCGGCGTTTGAGAATATATGACGTATTAATAATTGAAGATGAAAAAAAATTGATAGTTCCTTTACATAATAATGCCAGCGAAAGTGTGAAATATTTCGTTCATAATAATAAAATTATTAATATACTAAAATCTGCTCATACTAAAACATTCATTTCTTTAAGGATTGTCACCGGCAATATAAGGAAATGAGAGAAACTTATAAAAATTTGACAGTTTGTTCTGTATATTATTTTAGAAACATATGAATTTTTTCAGAATTTTTTACCACGTAGTTTTTTCTTAAAAAAATTAATTAAATACTTTTTATAATATTGAAATCTTGAAAAAATTTTATCATTAATTTTTACATCTTTTTTTAATGTTTTTTTTTTTTTCAATAAAATAAATATATAGGTTTTTTGATTAAAATTATGAAACTGAAATTTTTTTTGAGGTTGCAAACATGCAAGATTTTACATGGGAGCAATGGGAACAATCCCCTTGGCCCTCACCACCGCCGTGACAATCCTTAATCGACTGCTATGGACAACATTGTACATGAGAAATCGAACTGAGCAGGCTTTGTACAAACATCTCTGTACCGAACTTGCTCAGTATACATATCTCTGTACAGAGCCCGGAAATTACAGCTCTGTACAAAACAGCTTGTACCAACCGCGATCAGTACAAAAATCGTTGTACAGATCGGGCTTTGTACAATTTCGGGCTTGGTACGTAACATATATATATTTTATTATTTTTTTTGGCAAAAAATCGATATTCCGACTCAATTATCTCCGAATCTATTCGATATGGAATCGTGCTACTAGAGACTTTTTTTCTCGTCTCTTCCTCTGCTACAACTTTGCTGTAGACACAATTTTGCCAAACCCTATACTTTTCGATTTATTTTCAAAAAAATAATTTTTATTACATTCTCATCATATGAGAAAGTACTAGTTTTGGTGGAAAATTGACTTTCGCTAATTTCATGAAATCTCGACGTTTTGGGGTCCCATGAACCCAAAAAACATGGTCCGGCGATGGTGTCTGTCTGTTCGTCTGTCTGTCTGTCTGTCTGTCTGGAGATCAAAAATTTTGTTCCCACGATAACTCTTGAAAAACTTATCCGATCGTTTTTAAATTTAGCACACTTAGAGTTGGTGCAAAAATGAAGGCCAAGTTCGTTAACCAGCCATTTTCGTTAAAAAATACAAAAACTACAGTACTTTCAAAATTTTGAAAAATCAATTTTTTTTAATTTTTAAATTTTTATTTGCACATTACGATAGCTTAGGAAAATACAAACAACTTTTTTCTACAACATTTATTCATAAAAAGTCAAATTTCGGAGTTATAGGATCTTAAATCGTCAAAAAAACTAAAAAATCCCAAAATAACTCTAAAAATCAAAATATTTTCAAAGAATTAAAAGTAACTTCAACTATTTTTACATAATCTCACCCAAATACACCCAAAAAACATATTTATAGACATAGAACTCTTAATTTCTCGAAAAACCACTGTATATATATATATTTTTTTTTTTTGGCAAAAAATCGATATTCCGACTCAATTATCTCCGAATCTATTCGATATGGAATCTTGTTAATAGAGACTTTTTTTCTCGTCTCATCCTCTGCTACAACTTTGCTGTAGACACAATTTCGCTAAACCCTATACTTTTTGATTTATTTTCAAAGAAAGTAATTTTTATTACATTCTTATCATATGAGAAATTATTAGTTTTGGTCGAAAATTGACTTTCGCTAATTTCATGAAATCTCGACGTTTTGGGGTCCCATGAACCCAAAAAACATGGTCCGGCGATGGTGTCTGTCTGTTCGTCTGTCTGTCTGTCTGTCTGTCTGTCTGTCTGTCTGTCTGTAGATCAAAAATTTTGTTCCCACGATAACTCTTGAAAAACTTATCCGATCGTTTTTAAATTTAACACACTTAAATTTGGTGCAAAAATGAAGGCCAAGTTCGTTAACCAGCCATTTTCGTTAAAAAATACAAAAACTACAGTACTTTCAAAATTTTGAAAAATCATTTTTTTTAAATTTTCAAATTTTTATTTGCACATTACTTTAATCCTTGCTTCGATGCTAGGCCAAGGATAGTTAAAAATTTTTGTTTACTTTTTTATTTCTCTCTCGTAGGTATTTGAGTCTACAGTAAAATAATGTATAGCAAAATTATAGCCATATAACTAGGCTTTCCAAAAATACTTTTCGTTTGCTGTATACATATTCAAGCTTGGCCGCTAGGTCCGAAAATATCTTACCTTACTTTCCTTGACCAATCCTCCCCTGTACATTAAAGAGGAAACTCTAAAAAATTTTTAAGAACAGAAATTGGAAGTGTAACTTTAATACAAAGTAAAAAAAAATTTTGAAAATTTTCAAATTAATTTTTTTGAAATTTCTTTTTATAATTTGGAAATATTTTTTCAAAATTGTCTTATTTATAGGACTAGAGATGATTCTATCACTCATAGTGATAGTTAAATTACACAATTTATTGTCTAATTTATTTTTACAACATATATAAATTTAATTTAAAACGGTTAAATAGTTTCCGAAAAAAATGAATTTTTGGGTTTTTTTTTAAAAAATCGTTTTTTTTGAAAAAACTATATTTGTCAAAAATCTGGAAAAAATATATATTAAGAAGGAAACTTAAAGATATTTTTTTTTAAATTAAAGGTGTATCATTAAAAAAATCCAAATTTTTTTTGAAAATTTTAAAATTAAAAAGAGAAAAAATTATCTTTAAATTTTTTTTTGTAAAAAACTTTTTTTTTAAATTGTTTTATCTATATTTGTAACATATTTAAATTCCATTCAAATCGGTTAAGTACTTTCCGATAGAAAATAATTTTTTTATTTTTCTTCCCCCCTCACAGTGGTCCAGAAATCTAAAAAGTTGGCCAAAAGTCAAAATTTAATTTCATAATTTGTATTGTTTAAATAGTTGTAGTAGTACCCCTAGAGTTGTTTAAAGTCATTAGAAGGGTAAGAGTTTCCTTTTTATAGTCATAATGCCTTCCTGATTCGTTCATTTAGATCGCGCACGATAATTGCACTTTTTGCGAAAAAAGCAGTTTTCTTTGTGAGTGCACAGTATTCAAATTGCCGATTGACTGATTTTAAAACCCTAAAATGAATTCATCTTAACAAAGTAAGTATTTTCAGAGAAGTATTTGTTTATAATTAATGATAAAAAGTTTCGGACAATTGGAAACATCAAAATTACATAAAATAATCAATTGAGATACGCAAAGTTTTCCAATAAAGATTTATAAGTTTAAAGTTTTGCGGAGTATTGCCAAGTCTGATATACAAAAATGTTCGTTACACGCTCATTTAAAATGTGTGTAAATAGTAGTTACCAAGACCTGCCAAGATAAGATAGACAAACACTTGAATGTGAACAAACACGAATTACAAAAAACGAAGAAAATTTCCTAAAAGTGAAAAGTTCGTAAAGTCCGATTCCGTCATTTCTGCTGTCAGCAATATGTCAACGCGAAAAGGAAGAGCAAACATTTGTCAACAGAAGCAATTTCTTTATTAACCCGTTGACTGTTAAACTATAAAAATTAAATTTACCAGCGAATGTCAGGATATTTAACTAAATTTGACTTTACCAAAAATTATCATACTAATGTCAGATTCGTAATCAGACACCCTAGAAACCCCCAAGTAACCAATTTCAAACAAATTGAATAAATTTTAAAAACAATTTCCGTCATATTGGATCCGCCATTTTTTTGAAAAATAATATCAAATTCGAAATCAGAGACCTCAAAAACCCACTAGCACCAATCCAACTAAAAAAAGTATGAAGTCATGGAGAGTATCTAATATCGAAACAATCGATGACACTCGAATTGAGAAGCATTGAACATAAATATGAGAAAGGCATGCTAGCAAGGAAAAAGTTATGTTGTAGATGGCACTGCAGTTGGACAATTATTTGGCGCTAACTTACAAATTTAAACTGTCTCTTTCTTTTTTTTTAAGTAAAAAATTTAGAAGTATAATAAGTGAAAAAAATGAATTTAAAAAAACTAATTTTAAGAAAATCAAATAAACAAAAAAAGTTTCTTAATATTGCGTAACGCTTTTTGAAGGAAGGGGGGTCAAGCTATTTGTTACAATAAGCAAAAAATGGCGCTAATGTGTGCAACAGTGTGTTATATAGGGGTGGGAGGGTCAAAAGTAACGTTACGTAATCTATGGACGGCCTATTATTCAAACTAAAAAAAATTTAAATTATTCTTATTTAATTTTCAATCAATCAAGAATGAATAAGAATTATAATTAATTAAAAATTAGGTAGCGAAGTAAATGTAGAAATGGTTATTGTAAATCAAATATACAAAGAGAAATTGTAATTAACTAAAAATCAGGCAGAGAACTGAATTGAGAAATAGCATAATAGCGAAGGAGACGGCCGCTTGCGGCCGTCGACTGCGCTAGTTTTTATAAAAATTAAATTATTTCTTGTACGTTATGTCTGCGATATTGGATCCGCCATTTTGATTTTTTGATAAATAATATCAAATTCAAAGTCAGAGACCTCAAAAACCCCCTAGCACAAATTTCTATAAAAATTAAATTATTTCTTGTACTTTATGTCCGCCATATTGGATCCGCCATTTTGTTTTTTTGAAAAATAATATCAAATTCGAAATCAGAGACCCCAAAAACCCCCGAGTAACGAATTTTAGAAAGATTTATTCATTTCTTCGACTTTTGGCCAGGTTTCTGGCGATCTGGACCACTGTGCCCCTCCATAACTCTTAAAGGAAGTTTAAAAAAAATCGGCCCAATATCACGGAGAAAATGTAGAAGCACTGAGTACTTTTTCTCACAGCACTGATTACTATGTATATTAAAAAATTAACTTTGGAAGTTCTGAATGATATTCGCATAGTAGTCACTACTGTGAAGAAAGTAATTTCTACTTTTCTTGACAGTTATCAGAATTTTGTCGCACATTAGTAAACAATAAAGCATTCAAAGATGTGAATATAGTAGTAAATGTTTTGCTCGAAGTAGTGAATGATTTTTTACAGCTCTCAGTGCTCCGTAGAATTATTTTTCAATATTAAAAAACAAAAGAACGCTTAACCTTCAATTATAAAATAGATATTTTCAAACAAATGCTTAGGACCAATTTAATCAATTAAATGATTAATAACTACAAATTTTAAATTTAATATGTATTCTTGTTTGACGATACTTTTATAATTTAACCAAAATTACGCTTTATTAAAGGTTAAGAACAATAAGCTTTTTAAAGAAAATGACAGATTTATGTAACTGTTATTTAATAAAATAAGTAATGTTTTTTAAAACCATTATTTTAGAAGAAACAGAACTTCCAAAGTTAATTTTTTAATCCACACAGTAATCAGTGCTGTGAGAAAAAGTACTCAGTGCTTCTACATTTTCTCCGTGTACGCGATTTTGATTTAAGTTAAAATCAATTTTGTAGCGCCACAGAAAAAAGGGGTGGTAATGTTACTAGGGGTAAAGGGTAATAACAACTTGTGTAGAGGGTAAATCTTCCATTTTTATTGAGTTAAAATGATAGAGGGTAATATTGGGTAATATTATGTGAGGTAATTTTGACAGAAATTGACAGATAGTGCATTTTCGAAGAAATTCGTATAATTAATTTTTTAGAAGTGAAATACGTAATAACGAATGATGCACCAGTATCTTCTTTAAGTCATTACAAGTTTTTAATTAAGAAAGCATATTAAAGAGAGTCACTATAAATTTGGAGAATAAAAAATTACAGGCGTGAAAAGTTTGAATACACGAAGATTTTGTATTTGGATTCAATGGTTTAAATTACAGCAGTTTAAAAATATTTTTAAAAAAATTATAAATAAAGTTCATTGATATTCTTTATTAATTAAATCTAAAAATAACACCGTTTTTAAAAAAAACTAGAGAAAGTTATTTTGATTATAAAGATTAAAAACAAATGGATTACAAAATTATCATTTTTATAAAACGTATGAATGGTAGATAATTTTTAAATTATTTAAAAAAAATATATATATATATATTAAGGATTTTATAAATAAAACAACAAGTTTGGAAAAAAACTCCTATTGGGGAAAAAACCAGATTATTATTGACTATTGTAACACTGAAGACACGCAACAATTAATTGTAAACATTTCTAATAACATTTTCAAGCTGATTGCCAATGAGTGTGTATACTTAATTATATAACAGTGACTGTAATATTTAAGCTTAGTTAAAGTAAACAATGAAAATATTTTTAAAAAATATTAATTTACGTTAAAAATGTATTTTGCTTTATACAAAATTCTGTATTTCACTGGCATGTATTTTATTTGCTTCGAAAAAGTACCAAAAAACTGTAAAGATCCATTATACATAACCTGCTTCGCTAAATACTTTTACGAGTGTTTGAAAACTCTAATTAATCTAATAAATCGCTATTTATAGATAACTGCTTGAAGTGTCCCCAAAATGTTATCACATAAATGATACATGACAAATATTGGTAACCAATACTATTTTCGAACCAATTAGTCTTATTCCCCAATCCAATCTCCTTGCTATATAAATGCTTGACGCAACTGGTGTTTTTTTGCTAATGTCAGTGGTAGATTTTTATACGTGCGTAGACATTGAGCCATCCGTTTAGAAACTTGATGAAAAGCTTCTGCTCTCATCGTTTTATAATTCTGTAAAGGCCCATATCTTAAAATTGCAGATACTCTATGTAATAAGAAATGCTGTTTGGGAGTGAGATGTTCATTGTAGGCTGCTTTAAATGTTTCCAGATATTCTGAAATACAGCTACTCAAGTAGCCTATAATGTCGAGGAATTAATTGTATCGGCATGTGAAATAAGAATATATTCAATCATTTTCAAATAATTCTCTAAAGCAAGCAATCCTTCAGGAACTTTATCAGAAATGATTAATGGCAACATTGTAACTAATTGTGCCACTTGTGCCGCTGTCTGCTTAAATCCTTTATTCATATCCATTACATGCTTTTGACTGATTGGTGATGGTTTTGCAGATTTTTCTGTGTATCCGTAATCAAAATCTGTTATTCTACTATTTAGATCGTCAAGAGAAATTAATTGTAAAGTAAAACAAAGGGCCTAGCGAAGTAAGCATGCAAAATCTGCCCCCGCTCAAAAAACTTTATCTTAATGTTGCCAACATGTAACAACATGTTGGCAACATTAAGATACAATTTTTCACTAAATATTTTTTCAAAAAATGTATTTTTGTAAGAGTTATGGAGGGGGAAAGAAAAATGAAAAATTTGTTTTTTCTCGAAAACCACTAGATCGATTTTAATGAAATTTATATTTATTTTATAAATTCATAAGAGGAATTTAAAAAAAAAATTTCAAAAAATTTTGACCGAAAAAACCCAAAAAAAATTTTTTTTAATTTAAAAAAAAAATTTTTTGGTCTTATTTTAGAGATACTTCT